CCCTCCCCCACCCCTCCCCTTCATCCCCTCCCCCACCTCTCCCACCATCCCACACTCTCCTCCTCACCCACTTCACCACAACCCTCATTCCCTCACAGCCTCACCCCCACCCCCTTCACTTCCTCATCCAACCCCACACCCTCACTGCATCCCAGCGCCCCCCACTCCAAACACTTCCCCCCCACTCCCCCTCACTACCTCATCCCCATCCTCATACACACCTCCTTTTAACCCCTTCCCTCAATACCAACTCCATCTGCTACCTATCCACCCCCTCAACTCAACCTCAAACTCCTCACCTTCTGCCCCTCAACCCTCCCCCTCAAACTCCAGCCCATCCAACCCCCACCCATTAGGATGCTTGCGTTTTATCAGTTGTAGCATAGATCATAACACCATTAGACACAGGAGCAGAATTAGGCCATTTGGCCCATCAAGTCTGCTCTAATTCAATCGTGGCTGATATGTTTCTCAACCCCATTCTCCTGCCTTCTCCCTATAACCCTTGATCCCCCTTACTAATCAAGAACCTGTCTATCTCTGTCTTAAATACACTCAATAACCTAGCCTCCACAGCCCTCTGGGGGAATGAGTCCCACAGATTCCCCAACCTCCGGCTGAAGAAATTCTTCCTCATCTCAGTTCTAAAGGGTTGTCCCTTTACTCTAAGGCTGTTCCCTCAGGTTCTAGTCTCTCCTGCTCGTGGAAATATCTTCTCCACATCCACTCTATCCAGGCCTCTCAGTATTCTGTAAGTTTCAATCAGATTCCCCCTCATCCTTTTCACCTCCATTGAGTAAGGACCCAGTGTCCTCAACCACTCCTCATATGACAAGCCCTTCATTCCTGGGATCATTCTTGTGAACCTCCTCCAAACCGTCCTTCCTCAATTACGGAGCCCAAAACTGCTCACTATATTCGCAATATTATAAGAGCAGGGAGGTTGTGTTGGAGCTGTACAGGACATTGGTTAGACCACAACTAAGGTACTGTGTGCAGTTCTGGTCACTGCACCATAGGAAGGATGTGATTGCACTGGAAGGGGTACAGGGGAGATTCACCAGGATGTTGCCTGGGATGGAGCATTTCAGTGATGGGGAGAGGCTGAAAAAGTTCAGGTTATTTTCTTTGGAGCAGGGAAGGCTGAGGGGGACCTGACAGGGCTGTGTGAGGATTATGAGGGACATGGACAGAAAACAGCTGTTCCCCTTAGTTGAAGGATCAATAACAAGGGGGCATCATTTTAAAGTGAAAGACAGGAGATTTGGAGGGGATTTGAGGAAGGGTGGTGGAGGTCTGGAATACTCTCTCTGTGAGAGTAGTTGAGGAGGGTAACCTCACAACCTTTAAAAAGTACTTGGAGTGTCATAACATTCAAGATTATGGGTCGAGTGCAGGAAAGCGGGACTGGTGTAGATTTAGTGTGCTTTTGGTTGCCCAGACTCGATGGGCCAAAGGATCTCATGTGTATATGTGATTGTACAATTTGTTGGTGGTTGTAAGAACTCTTCATCACCTTCTGTAATTTCTGCTCCCGTTACAGGATGGTGGTTAGCAGCTGTAACAGCTTTAGTCTGTGACAATAACAATGAGGAGCCCAGTCCAGTGCGTTTGGATAATGACCCCTGTTTGGAGGATGCAGTTCCTGGTGAGTGAGACTCTGCAAATGCCACTCACACTCATAAAAACTTCAGCTCAACACCAGGTGCTTTATTCACTCGAGCCCAGTCTGTTTGTGTGTGGGACTCACCGCTTCTATCTCTCTTTCTAAAAAGTATTTTCCTCCCTCAGGAATAAGATCAAATTATTAAGTGGTAGCGTCCCTGCACCTGGCTCAGGAGATCAGGTTCAAGTCCTATCTGCTCCAGAGATGTGTACTAACACCTCAGAAAAGGTTGATTAGAGAAATAGGTTAAATTTTTTAAAAACTGAGACTGAAATATCCTGAGACAGATCAATTGCTTTGAAAAAGTGGTGTTTATTGGAAGTGGCAGTTAACTGTAAATCAGGTAAAAAGTAGTTGGTATTTAATAGCAGTAATTACCATCACAGAAAGCTACGTTAACTTGTCACTCATTACAGGCTGGAGATGACAGAGAGGTTTTACCAAATGCACAGTTAGGAAAGGGCAGACCGGAACGGGACATTGCGAGAGGCTAGAGGAGGACTACACAGGGATTATGGGCAGATTGGGACTGAACTAAAAACCAAGAAGGTAATACTCTCCACAATTATAACCTGCAGTTGAAAGGTTAGAGATGGAAATATGATGCTCAAAGATCAATCTGGGAGAGATGGCATCCGAATCAAGGGGAATGGGACAGGTCGTGGTGAAAGAGAGAGCTATTCTACTAGGACAGGCTTCACCCTCACCGTGCCAGGAGCACCGTCCCACCCTCACCGTGCCGGGAGCGGTACCCTACCCTCACCGTGCCGGGAGCAGTGCCCTACCCTCACCGTGCCG